GAGCCACGGGCTCGAAGCCCCCTGCCCATGCCATCCCAGGGCATGGAGCGCAGTGCCGGGGTGACAACTGGTCCCTGTTGTCACAGGAGGAGACCTGCATTATCACCTGTCCCAGCACGGCGTCTTCTCAGAGGCAGAGATGCGCTTCTATGCGGCTGAGATCATCCTGGGCCTGGAGCACAGGCACAGCCGCTTTGTGGTGTACCGCGACCTCAAGGTGAGCGACCCCACAGCTACCTCGGGCACCTACACCCCAATGGGCACCCTGAGACCTTGCACATGTCTAGAAACCCCACTGGCATGTCCATACCCCGTAGAAACCCTCCCAGGACCCTGTGGGCACCCACAGGTGTCACAGGCACCCACAGAGCCCGCAGGAGCCCAGAGGGTACCCCCAGGTCCTGTGGGCACCCGTGACCCTGCAGGAACCCCCCAAACTCCATGGGCACCCTTGGGACCCTGTGGGTATCCTTAGACCTCGGAGCGGGGGACACTCTTGCAGACTCCGCTGGCACTTCCCACCACCCTGAAATCCCACAGACCACCCCTGCCTGACCCATGTGGGCAATCCCAGCCTCTCTGCCCACCCCACCCACTTGGGCTCAGGGGTGGTATGATGTCTCGCCAGCCGGCAAACATCCTCCTGGACGAGTTTGGGCACGTCCGCATCTCGGACCTGGGCCTGGCCTGTGACTTCTCCAAGAAGAAGCCCCATGCCAGTGTGTGAGTGTGCCCGCGCCCCTGCCTGCCCTGCCAGCCTGCCTGGCACAGCCTCTCACCCTGCCCTGTGCCCCTGCAGGGGCACCCATGGGTACATGGCTCCGGAGGTGCTGCAGAAAGGAGTGGCATACGACAGCAGCGCTGACTGGTTCTCACTGGGCTGCATGCTCTTCAAACTGCTCCGGGGGTGAGTGCCACAGGCACGGGTGGGCATGGGGAGGCATGGTGGGCACCGCTGAGTTTCCCTCTTCCCTCACATCCGCAGGCACAGCCCCTTTCGGCAGCACAAGACGAAGGACAAGCACGAGATTGACCGTATGACCCTCACCATGGTGAGTTGGGGCACCCTGGCCTTTACCCCATGTGCCAGGGAGGGCTGAGGCATGGACAGGGCACGAGCACCCCTGCACTGCTGTGCCCCACTACTGTGCGCTGGCAGAGACCTGGAAGGCACACAAGGAGTGTGGGGGGGTCAGGGACAGCTGGTCCCTGAAGGTGGGCGGTGCCCGGAGTGTGTGCTTGTGCCCATCTCTACGTGTGTGTGCAGGATGACATGCAGGTGGGTGTGTTTGTGTTCACACACAGCAGGGGGGTCCCTTGCACACAGGTGTGTTTGCAGAGTCCACGTCCTGTCCATGCACGCGTCTCTGTGGTGTTTACACGTGCCAGCCGCCGTGCACTTGTGTGCCTGCTGTGTGCGTACACCCATCCGTGCGTATGTGCTTGCACGGGACTGAATGTGCACATGCACCTTGCATGTGTGTGTGCCTGCACGTGTGTGCATGTGTACGTGTGTGCACGCCTCCCTGTGTATGTCAGCGTGTGTCTGTGCTTATCTGTGTGCATCCCTGTACCCGCGCACACGTGTGCCTCGGTGCTTGCATGCTCACGGCATGAACAACCCGTGCCCTCTCTCGCAGGCCGTCGAGCTGCCAGACTCCTTCTCTCCTGAGCTGCGCTCCCTGCTTGAGGGGCTGCTGCAGCGTGACGTCAACCGGCGGCTGGGCTGCATGGGGCGCGGGTGAGTGCTGGTGGGCACCAGGGCGGTGCCAGGGCTGGGGCAGAAGGCAGGCCCCCCGCCCCCAGGCCTGCAGCCGTGAGCCTAAAAAAAGCGCTCACCCCACCTCGCTCCCCAGGGCTCAGGAGGTGAAGGAGGAGCCCTTCTTCAAGGGCCTGGACTGGCAGATGGTTTTCCTGCAGAAGGTGAGGGGCGTGACGCCCGGGCATGGGAGGGGGTACAGGCGCACAGGCAGACACCCCT